TATATTGTTGTTTATTTGAGATGAGTGTGGGATGGATGTTTTATATAGTTTTTAAATGAGTTAAAGTGTATATGTATTTTATATCTACGATTATGTTGGGTAGAACATGGGTTGATGAGATAGTTGGTGTGTGATAAAACGATGAGGTATGAAAGATGATTAAGAATGATATTGGCAGATGCACCAATTAGAGAATATCATAATACTAGCAGATACGTTTAAGAATAATATCGGTAGATGTACCAAGTAGTGAATGTCGTAATTCTGGCAGATGCGCTTATAGGATAATCCTGGCAGATGCGCTTATAGGATAATGTCGGCAGATGCGCCTAAAAGAGAATGTCATAAACCTGGCAGTCGCGCCTCATAGTGTATGACGTAATCCTGACAGAGGCGCTTAAAGGATAATGTTGGCAGATGCGCCTTATGTAGTAATGGAAGTTTGTGCTAATTCCTTAGGTCAATCCTTAGGAATGAATGAATGACGGGTAGTTGAATCCCTAGGGTAAAATCCTAAGAAATAAAGAAGATAATAGGGATGGGTAATTGAGTTGATTGTTTGATGGTTGAATATAATAATTATATTATTGTGGGTTGAAAACCCTATATGCTCACCAGGCTCCCAAGCCTGACCCACTCAGTTTTCTTTATATCACAGGTATTAATACGAAGACATATTTCACAGAGAGATTTAAAGGGGATATAAATCAATTGTGTAATTAAATGTAAGTTCTGTTTATGCTTATATGTCTGTATCGGAACATGAAATCCTGAGGTTTTATTATTAAATGAAAATACATTCTCTTCAAGAAATGCTTTGATAATTTTTATCATATTTTGTTTCGGGAACAAATTCCGCAACTGTTTTCTTTAAAAGATTACTCTTATTTTATAAAACAAAGCATAAACAAATCGGTCTTTTCTGGCCGTGAAAATGGGGATGTCTCATAAACTATCTAAAGAATACGGAATATAAATCAGATGGTGACTCAAGAACACACAAATCATACGATTTATTAGTTGAAATCGTTTGGTACACCAAGAACTTTTTAACAGCTGAATACCATAAATGATGAGCAACTAGAACTCCTGAATGACTGAAAGCTATTTATACAAACCTAGTACAAAGCCTTAACAGGCCCAACCCCAAGCTGACCAAAATCACTATTAAGCTAACCGAAATCACATGGTGATTTCGATCCAAACACCACCGAAAATATGGTGTTTTCGGTCCTAGATCGAGAACTCTAAAAGATATCAAAGGCAAAGTATAAACCACAAATCATGTCCTAACACTAAAACTCCAAAACTCGCACAAGATGGCTAGGGCTTCGAGATGACCGAAAATGGGGATGGAGGTTGAGCATGTGAAGGCATTCAAGGGATTAGAGCCTTTAAATAGAGCTCACAACCCATCAATTAGCGTTTTAGTCATGCGCTCCTACGCCCTGTGTAGGTATCTCTACGCCCCACGTAAAACATAAATCCTTCGATTGAACCTTTCACCTATGCATAACATATGAGGTCATCCTACGCCCAACATAATGCAACAAAAATGAACATTTGCCAAAATTTACATATTAAAAGCATACCTGAGGATACGGGTGTTACAAAGTTATTGTTATTTTGATGCAAATTGTTATTATTGAAATATGTATACAAGCATATTATTTAAGAATGCTAATTATCAAATAATCACAAGACTGCAGTTAGAGTCTTTAAGAATGAAAGAATTATATGTGTTCATGACAATATGATCTGAAACAAAGTTCTAAACAAAGTTAGCACATATGGATTTGAAAAAAAAAATCATAACTTCCAAAATAATAGCATCATCCTTTCTTGGTAAAAAATAAAAATGTTTATAATACCCTTAGATATAAAGTCTTCTTAATAAAAGCAATATATATATATATATATATATATATATATATATATATATATATATATTATATATATATATATATATATATATATATATATATATATATATATATATATATATATATATATATATATATAGGGGGGGGGGGGGGGGGTTGATTCTAATGACACCAAGATGATAGGAATTGCTAAAGAGGAGTTTCACGCAATTTTAAAGGTATTCAATCATCTTTCTATTACAGGATTTTACTAATGTTTCTTAATTATATAGGAGCATAGAGTGGTATATCCGTATATTCGAAATACATAAACTATAAATTGGTATTACACCCTTTTTGGCATCTTTGTGTCAATATGTTGACATGAAATATGAGAAGTTTGAGAAAAAATAACTTAGAAAAAAAAATAATAATAAATAATAATAATAAAAAAAAGGCTTGCTGTTTGTGAATCTAGATTACTCATTTACCTGTTACTCATTTAAATTTATTGTTGTCAACTCATTTAGTTTATCCTTGAACTAGGAACAAAGTCCCCCCCCCCCCGAAAGTGAGCTACTAAAAAGCTTTGCATTCAAAACGAAGACTTCTTAAAGGAATTAAGCAAGAAAAACTTGTCATTTTTCGACCAGAACTCCGAACAGACTCACAATCAATAGCCTTGGGAGAAACTAAAGATTTTTCCAAAATTATGTTAAAAAAAAAATTCTTTTCAAATTGATTTCATTTATATGTAATTATTGTTTTGTTTATGTAAAGGGATCTATAGAATATACACTATATACATGCTACAGAAGTCAAACTATGTCTCATCGTCGTTTATACTTTTGAAATCATGAAATCTAGTGATGTTCGGATAATCGTCTTATTTTATTTTGTCGACATTTTTAGTATTGACTCAACTAATTCATTGTTAATTTTACATCGGTTTTTGGAGGTATATGTATGGAAAATCTCCAAAAATGTTCTAAAATTTTACCCTAATTTATGAAAAAATCTCAAACAATTTTTTTTTTTTTTTACAAAAAGGCATGAATTACCTGTAAAAATGACGATTTGACCTATTTTTCTCGGTTTACCAATTTCATTACTTACCTATTTCATTAAAGTCACATTATTTTACCTTAATTTACGAATAAGTCCCAAACTAAAATTTAATCATGATCTAGCCCCTTTCTCCATATAACATACATTTTATCGGTTTCATTGTTGATTTAGACACCTAGTCATTAAATTGGATGATAAGATAGATAACATGGGTTATATAACGTTACATTTACTGTAAAATTTGATATTAATCTCATCGATTCATTTATAACTATATATCTTTAGGTCAGTAATGAAACCAATAAAATATGTGTTTTAGAAAAAAAAAAAAAAAAAAAAAAAAAAAAGGGGGGGGGGGGGGGGGTAGGAAATGAGCTGATGTCTGATGAAATGAACATATTGGGTTATGGTTAGATAGACAATTTGAAATTTCTTATAAACGTAAAAAATGATGCAGTTGCTGCTATTTTATGTAATTATTACAGTCTTCGTTGGATGTATTTTATATTCCAAAAAATATACAGTATATCAAGATATCATGTTTTATGGTAAACATAACATTATATAACCCAATATATCAATCTTATCAGCTCATTTAATAACTAGGCATCCATATCAGTAATGGAACTGATAAAATATACGTTACATGGAGAAAATGACTAAATTATCACTAAATTTTAGTTTGAAAGTTATTCATAAATTATGGTAAAATAATAAGACTTTAATGAAACAGATAAGTAATGAAACCGGTAAACCGAAAAAAATGCGTTAAATCGTCATTTTTACCGATCATTCATGCTTTTTCGTAAACAAATTTTAGTTTGTAACTTTTTCGTAAATTAGGACAAAATTTTAGGACTTTTCTAATTCGATCTATTTTTTCAATATGATAAAAAAAAAAGAAAGAAAAAAGAAAAGAAAAGTGAATCATATTTTGTTCTAGTTATACAATACGTTGTTTGACTGTATTTTTTAATTTTCAAATAGACTACACTCTATTAGACTACAGTTGATATTTTGTATTTTATCTATCATTTTACGGTATTATATGTGGTTTTTTGTAATACTGAAATAAACTTAAACGAACGAACATAAACTAACGTACACACATAAACAAACATTCACGAACATAATTGAACACACGGGATCATTCTTTATGTTCGTTCGTTTAACTAAACGATCGAAAACTTACGTTCATATTCATTTATTTATTAAATAAACGAACATTCTTCTATCGTTCAGTTCATTTACAACTATATCCATTACAATGATCAAATTATTGAATATGTGTAATCAGTCATAAACCAAGCCTTGATTACACGTTTCAGGTTAATTAGCCCACTTAAATCAATTTTTATTTCATTTTCAACAAAATTAGTACAAATTTTAATTTATCACCATGCCACAAACAGAAACAGAGGATTTTAAAGATATTGTCTGTGTTTGGATGGTTGGCAAATCGCATGTAACGGTGGCCAATTTTATTAGAAAAAAAAAAAAATATATGTAATTTTCTAATTCGCTAACAGATTATGAGTTCTGTGTTTGTTTACCTTTTTTTTTATTTTTTTTTGTATTATAGAGGGTATTAAAAAATGTCGTATTACTTGATTGTTTATATATGATTTACTACTTGATAACTTTGCTCCCTTACAATTCACACTGTAATACATCAGTAGGATCTTTATAACATAGGTGGGTGATACGATTGACCATCAAGGGATCCAAAAATTTTATAAACTTATAATTATATGTTAGACAATATTGATTTTGAAGATATTATTACTGATTTTGTATCTCAAAAAGTTAGAAGTATTTTTCTTTAAATATATGGATTTTTGTAATAAAAAATGTTATATTCAGAAGCCCGTATAACTAATTTTTTTCGGTTTACATCCAATAGTCTTTTTATCATACAAAATCTCAACTAAATACAATATAAATCAAATCAAATTACATGTTTCTTGATTTCTAATTAAACTCTAATAAGACAACCTCATTACATCCAATTACATGTTTCATTCTTATGTGCAACCATAATCTTTACAATCATGAATCATCCAATTCCTCTCAAACTTTATAAAACCAAAAAAACAACAAAGTTAACAAATCAAACGATTAAACCACAATCTGAAAACACCAAAATGCTACTCCATAGTCCATAATACATATAACATATGATGATAAATTTATGATATATTTGCATTTGATAAACTTTTAGTTACCACAGAACCAGAAGAAGTCAACATGAGATGCATACCTCCTAATGTAGCAACACAAGAAGCAGTTGTAGACAAATGAGGCTGCACTTGTTCCCATATCTTCTTTTTTGCAATCTGATTAGGTGATGCAGTTTCAGGTAGCTTCTCTTTATCATCTTCACCTCCAAACCATATCCTCTCTCCTAGGGCTACCCCTTGAGGTGGCTCAAGCAACTCAACATTCTCATGTGACACATCAGAAGCAGCCATTAACATTCCAGATGACTTCACACCCCGCATGTTTCTTGGCTTTAAGTTAGCAAGAACTACTACTTTCTTGTCTTGTAATTCTTCAAGTGGAATGTATTTCACAAGCCCACTACAGATTATCCTTGGCTCTGGTTCTCCAATGTCTACTTCTTCCACGTATAGTGAATCAGCCTCTTCGTGTCTCCATGCTTTCAAGATTTTCCCTACCCTTATGTCTAGTGTGTTTGCCATGTCTTTTATCTTCATCATATCGACAACAACTTCATCTTTTACTTTGTTGTCATCGGTTGTTTCTGTGGATACAGTTTGGGATGTGCAGAAGATTCTTCTGGTTGATTTTGATGCGATTTGTAATGGGGATATGGAAAGAGAAAGAGAAGGAGAGTTTGGTGTTGAGAGTTTATTTAAATTTGCTTTTGATGAAGAGTGTAATGGTGAAGAACATGTGGGAAGAAGTGGACGAAGGGGAATGCTACTGAGATTGCAGTAAGAAAGTAAACGTAAGCCACTGGTTTTTGGAAGGCTGATTGGCACCATTTTTATGGCTTTTTTGTTGACTATTCTGCAATGGAAATGGTTGAAAAGATATCCAAGTGAAAACTAGATTGCGTGTTCATATAATCGTATCATGTATTTAGTAAGAACAGAAAGCCCACACAATAAAATCTATCACTACACGTTTTGAGACAATCTGAATGCCTAATTGATTGTATCGTTATTCCCATTTTGAGTATAAACACAAATGCTAAAAAGCTTCAAATCATATTATATACAAATCGATTTAGAAGTAATCAAATTGGTTTCGCCATGAGGATATCAGAAAAACTCGATAAATCTAAATTATTCCCCAATTAAGCAACTATTTTTGGTTTATTTCAGGTTCGAACAATACTCGCAACTAATTCATGTTCCATGACAATGCATATAATAGAAAAGCAAGTAGAAGTTAAATACTTAAATCATTTTATGTGATTAAACTCTTCTTACTATGATGCTATTTTTAATTTATGCAAACCTAGCGCATCTCGGTCAAAAATGGTATTTAGATTAGAAGCTCGATTATGAATTTCACCTGTTAGAAACGATATACAAGTCAAATCGATCAAAAATTTCTAAACTTCTACGTTTTTAGAAAAATGCTGGAGTAATTTGGGGGGGAGGGAGTAGAAAACGGGGATAAGTATGGTATAGACCCTAAATAGCATCAACTTTAACAGAGTACATACAAATAATTCAAATATCACCTGCTACAGGCAATCCAACGGAGCTTGTTAGCCGGTGGCAGTAATGGTCGGCGATGCGAGGCGACGGAGGCGGGAGAATGTTGGGGATTGCAGTGTGGTGGTTTTTACGTTTGCTTCCCAGTTTGATCTGATTCATAAGTTCAGGATTACAAATAGTTATAAAAAGCACCCTTCATGTTTCATAATTTTACATAAACTCCTCTTTGGAACAATTCTTTTTCGTTACGAAAATTGGGAAATATCTGTTAGCAAAGAGTCGGAGTCTATCATAGAAGCAATAAGTTTAGAGGCCCGAATAATTCAGTCTATTTTGTCCTAATAAAAATCAAAAATATATCATCAATTTTGATAATATATACCAAAAGTTGACAAGTTTGATTATGATTTCTTTCCCTACAAACGTTTTTGATGTTAAACCATTAACAGTTGACAGTTAATGGTTCCATTGTTTTCAATATAAAAGAAAAGGGTCGACATGAGGTATATATGTTTAATTGTATATGATAATATAAATTTATAGTTTTGAATGAGTTCTCTTATCTCTACTATGGCTTGTCTTTTATACACCACTGTAATCATTAGGTCTATTCTTTTAAGCGTTTATTTTATATCGTTTTGCTAGAATTGTTGTTATTACAGTAAATGTTATGTTTTTGTTTTGGAAGATTTTGTTAAGTTATGAAAAACTTATGAGATAATTTCTTCGAAAAGAAACAAACAAAACAAAATTGAAGTAATAGAAGAGATCCTATGATCCTTTTTAAAAGGGGAAATATCTATATATCCATGATGATGATATGATTTATGAGTGCAGAGGAAAAGTCTTGCATTCACAGTTTATATATTAAAAAAAATATATGCTACAATCTGAATAATTCACGTCAACCAATACCACTATTTAGGTCTAAAGAAATCAGAAATTAAGCTCTCTTCTCACACTCACTCCAAGTCCAAGAGTAAGTATGAATCTTGTATGTTTATAAAATTAGTTGTTCTTTGCTATAAATTAGTTATTGTCTTTGTGAAATTAGTAATTTTGTTTGAAATTAGTAGTGGTTGACTTGTCTCCAATTGTTTGTCTTGCTTATTTGTTGAGTTGTTACCTAGCTTAGTTGTTTGGTTGCTTATTTGTTGAATTTTTTGTTAATTTATTATTGAAATATTGAATTGCAGGCTTCCATTATGTGTTGATGTCGGTATTGATTAACTCATGAAAGTTTTGAAAGATCTTCCAAAAGACCATGCTCTAATGAAATTCCATAAAGAAAACAAGGTCCACATCCACTACTTACCCCTACTCCAATTACAAGTGTGTATTCAAATGATACTCAATTGATAGATCAAGGATTACATCTTATCATCCAAATCAAAGAGATAAAGTAAGAAGGACATATTTCAATTTTGGCAGAATTTTATATATATCCTTGTTAAACAACAAAATATCGTATTTGCCCAAGTTAATCTAGCTATCATATTTACCCTTTTAACCTTTAAAATATCACATATATCCAAACTTTTTTTAAGCAATTTACAATCGGTTATTATATTTCAGAAATCATTATAATTTAAAACGAAATATAAAATTGACCATATTACCCCTGAAGTTTAAAACCCTTTTTAACACAAAAATGGATGTAGTGAATTATGAACACTGGTTTGTCATGCAGAAATAAAGAACACACAATGAACAGGTGATTTGGGTGTTTAAGAGATGCATTTGATTATGTATGATGTTACATAAAAAATGATCTAGATCTAAATCTACATAATTAATACACACGTTCTCATTGTTACATCTCTCAAGAACACCTCTACAAGTGGTATGAACCTACCTTATATAAAGGTGTTTACATGTCTCTCTCTTACTCTCTACCTCATGTCACAAGGCTAATGAACCACATGCAAGTGGGTTTACAAAAGTCAAACTATTTACAAAGTCATACATGGATAACTTTGTACCCAACATTCTCCCCCTCAAAGTTAGGAATGGATGACCCACTTCAAATCTTCCAAAATCGAGAAACTACGCGATCTGAGCCTTAAGCGTGACACGTGTAGAGATGAACTACAAATCTTCAATTCTTCCATGATTCTTCAATATGGGTTCTCGGATGTGAGACCATACGAACTGAGCATCAACAGATAATTAAGAGCTTCTCAAACTCCAAATAATCACCCTAAAGTTGAGCATAAAAACACACCCCAAAAATCTTCAATAATTACAAACCCATCATGAACCGAAATCAAATCCGAATTTCCAATCAAATCATTTCATAAGCTTCAAATACTCAATGTCACTTCGGTTTTCAAGTCCGCATAATATGAAATTTTCAACTTTCGAATTTCCATATAAATTTATCCCCCTTTTTATAATCGAAATTTGATTATAAAAGCAACAAGGAAAGAGGATGTTTTTTATTTGTAATTTTTCTAGTCAAAACTCCCCTTTAACATGTAGTATACACTTTTAGCTTCAATCCGGAAAATCCAAAAAATCTTCAATTTTTAGCTTCGTTTACGGACCGCCTTTGACAAAATTTCTCAAAAATGGGTAGAAATTGTCAATTTCAAAATTCTACAATGACCCGGTGCGCCCAAAACAGCCAAAAATGCGAAACTCTCCCCTATTTGCAAAACTGGGTAGAAAACATCAATTCGGATTAACTGTAGGGCCTGAAATGCATTTTCTTAAATTTCTCAGCAACATCAGTCCATTTTCGAAATTATGTATGAACGGCCAAAATTTTGAAACTTCTGGGACTGCTTTCGAAATTTGTACCTTATGTCCCCAAATGTCGAAAATTATCCCAACTTCAATTTCGAAACATTATTACATTCTTCCCAATTCAATGTAATCGCGAATTGTTCCAGGCACACAAAAACTTTCGATACTTTGACAAAAAATTTCGCTATCTAAATCTTCGTTAATTCAAGTTCCAGTGCATCGTCTTGTAAAACCCAATTTGCAAGCAACAACTTTCGAAATCCCAGTTTCAAGTTCCTTTGCTTATCATTCACCACAAACATGACTTTGTTATATCGACTCCAAATCAAGTTCAAAATCAATCTATCTTGATCACAAACCAATATCAATCCTTTAAAATCGTGTTAGATCTCATACTAATAGAACTTCAAAAGTGTAAGTTCTAGTTGTGAAAGCCCAAAACTTACTTTCGTTTCACTTTCGTTCGTGACTCCAAATCAAGAATCAATTTTGAAAATTACAAAATCAAACTTGACCATCGACAGTCGATAATTGAATCTAACCCAAATAACAATTGGATTCGATCTCCAAGATCACAATACCAACAATGAACTCCAAATTTTGATCACAACTTCCCAATCGATAACAATCCATTCAATATTCAAACCCAAATTCCAACAGGTGACCAGCGATATCATATGATCTAGACCTTGAACTCAAATCGATCAAAGCAAACCATCAATCAACAATCGACATCAAAAATCTATGGCTCAAGAACACCTATCGAAGAACTTTTGTTGAACAATGAAATATCAATTTTGACTTTTTACTTTGACTTTCTTCAATCTTCAAACCATAATCGAACAATTATCCTTCGATCATAAGTTTATGATATTTGTAATCCAAAAACGAAACTAGTTAGTCATCAAATTCGAGCATCAACATTTCAATTAACCATTGAACTAGAAATTTTTGAACGGTTCATCATTTGACAATCAGAAGATCATTAAATTCCAAAAGAGAACTCCTATGGTCATCAAATAACCCTTCGATTTTTTTACTCAAGATTTTCAATCATATTGTCACTAGCAGATCACACCATTTGATCATCTTTTTCCGTTCGGTTCCCAGCGAGAAGAAAAAAATGAAACAAGAGAATAGATGATAAAACTGGATTTCGATTTATTATCCTGATGAACAGTTATGAATCTATGAATTGGGCTTAAATTTGGTTGAACAATCCAAATTACGAGATTTTGGGCTAAAGTTGAACATGAATAGTAACATAATCGTTTTTGGGCTCAAATGTGATCAGTGAATAGTAAAGATTCGAAATTTAGATCATAAAATGAATTTTGGGCTTAAATCTTGATTCAAACGAACACATGCAATTTGAAAATCGAATCAAACAAATGAATAGGATTGGATCGGACTTGATCAATAAAAAAAGTTATTGGATCACAACAAGTGGGTTTTTCAAAAAAAATCCAATGAATTAAAATGATCAAAATTCAAGAACGTAATGCACAATTCAACAAGATTAAAAGAGATCATAGAGAGTGACTCACCATAAATGCTCCAATTGTGAC